TGGATGAAAAGAGGTCTTTGAGTTCAATGGTGTGTTCTCCAGAGCTATATAGCACTGCATCCCTGCTACCATCTGGGGTGGAGTGTTTGCAATTAGATGCTCATCAGATAAAAGTACAGGAAAGTGGTCAGAAAAAGACCACCTAGGTAAGCAAAAATTCCTCACTTTCCAGTATGAATTTCCAAATTATAACCTTTCAAAATTAACTTGTTTCCAGACTGAATAGGAAAAGGTGTGCTTTAAAACTGAACTTGAATTTCAAGAATAAACAATGTTCAGCTTAGCTTGAATTTCAAGAATAAACAATGTTCAGAAACTATAAAACTCTTAGAGGAAAACATAGCCAAAACACTGTTTGACGTAAATGGTAGCAAGATCCTCTTTGACTCACCTCCCAGAGTAATGGAGATAAAAACAAAAATAAACAAATGAGACCTAATTAAACTTAAAAGTCTTTGCACAGCAAAGGAAACTATAAACAAGATGAAAAGACAACCCTCAGAATGTGAGAAAATAATTGCAAATGAAGCAACTGACAAGGGATTAATCTCCAAAATATACAAGCAGCTCATGCATCTCAATATCAGAAAAACAAACAACCCAATCAAAAAATGGGAAAAAAATGTTTCTCCAGTTTTTGGAGAAACAGACATTTCGCCAAAGAAGACATACAGATGAGTAATGAACATGTGAAAAGATGCTCAACATCATTCATTATTACAAACATGCAAATAAAAATACAATGAGGTATCACCCCACACTGGTCAGGATGGCCATCATCAAAAAGTCTACAAACAATAAGTGCTGGAGAGGTGTGGAGAAAAGGGAACACTTTTGCACTGTTGGTGGGAATGCAAATTGACATAGCCACTATGGAGAGCAATACGGAGATTCCTTAAAAATCTAGGAATAAAACTACCAGCAGTCCCACTACTGGGCATACATCCTGAGAAAACCTTAATTCAAAAAAATACATGTACCCCAATGTTCATTGCAGCACTATTTACAATAGCTAGGACATGGAAGCAACCTAGACGTTCATTGGCAGATGAATAGATAAGCTATGGCGTATACACACATACAATGGAATATTACTCAGTCGTAAAAAGGAATGAAGTTGAGTCATTTGGGGTAGATGAAGCTAGAGCCTGTTAGAGAGACTGAAGTAAGTCAGAAAGAGAAAAGCAAATATCATATATTAGTGCATATATATGAAATGTAGACAAATGTTTCTGATGAACCTCTCTGCAGAGCAGGAACGGAGACTCAGACATGGTGGGGTAGGGAAAGACCTGTGGACACAGTGGGGTTGGGAGAGGGTGGGATGGTTTTTGAGAGAGTATCAGTGGAACATATGTAATACCATGTTTATAATAGGTAGCTAGTGCAAAGTTGCTGTATAACACCAAGAGCTCAGCCTGGGGCTCTGTGACAACCTCGAGGGGTAGGATGGGGAGGGGTTGGAAGGGAGGTTTAAGAGAGAGGGCATGGATGTATACTGTGGCTGATTCCCATCGTTGCACAGCAGAGACCAACAAAACAGTGTAAAGCAATTATCCTCCAATTAAAACAAAGAAAGCCAATATGCGGCTTAGACAAAAAAAGGCTGACAGTTTCCCATGAAGGGGAATATGGCCAGCTCTCTGGAGCAGAGGAGCTCTTCCTAGAATGGGGCAGGGTGAGAGCCTTTCATGTGAAGAAGCAAGATTTCCTGGAGCGGAGCTGATGGCCCGCGGCTGTGGGAGGCACTGGGCCGCTTTAGCTCTAGTCCTGCTTCTCTTTGGCCTCCATCCGGGTCTCTGGGCTAAAGTTTTGCTTTGGGGGCCACCAGAGTGGGGTGCTGCTTAGGAACGTGCGCATCAGCTCAGCTTTTTCCTTTGTTCCCCGCGGCGGGGTACAGTGAGCGTATGAAAGAGTGAGAGAGACAGAATAGAGACAGTGTGTATGTGAGGGTGGGGTGGGCATGGTGGGGAGGCAGGAAGCCCCCAATATTTGGATTCAATCATTTTCTTTATTTTCTGGTGAAACATAGGCTATTACTTCAGGAACTTATGAGAGAGCTGTGAAGAGAGAAATACCTGTATGTTTTGAAAAAACTTTCAGAAACTCCCTTTTCCCTTCCCCAACAAAATACTTTGTGATTTTCTTGAATCTCTTGTTACTTTATCAAGAAGAAAAATAATTATAATGACTATGACTTGAAAAAAAAGAAAGAAATGGTCCATGGATTTGATGGATTGAAAGGGTCATATAGTACCGAGTGGGGTGAATAAATAAAGAGGCACCTTTTATATACATCCCAGTGAAATTTCAGAACACCAAAACTAAAGAGAAAATCGGGAAAGGCTTTAGAAAGACTTAACTTTCCTAAAGCAGGTGTTTGAGTTAACCCCTCAAGAATATATTCTGTAAAGGATGAATTTAAAGATTATCCCCTCTATTAAAAGAAAACGGTAGCATATGTGGCTCCCTTCCCTTTCTTCTCCAAGTCCCTGTGGATAATAGAAAATTTGTTAGAAAGCAGATGCAAGAAAGACTAACATCTTTGCATCAACAGTCCTGTGGTATCTCTGGAAGATAGGAAACAAATGAAAGGAATCCAGGTCAAACACATATAGAAAATAGGAGTGGTTCTGTGTACTTCTGGCAACAGATAACAGGGCAGCCATCATGGTGGGTGCATTTGGAACATTGGTTCCCCTGTGTTAAGTCGTAGGCAATAGCAGGCTTGAGCTGGAGGTACCTTGTATGGATAATACCCTGCAGGAACTAGTCTTCAGCCTGAAATCAAGTTACTAACTCATACTCTTCTCATATGGCATGTCCTGCCCTTCCCTACAACCTCTGGAGTCCATTTTACTAAACAAATAACATAAAATACAAGCATGAGCATCAAACCAAGAATCACCAAACACTTAATGAAGGAAACGTCAGTTCATTGAATAAGACACTCTGATGCAGCAAACCAAAGGGCTGTCACCAAGAAAGTCGTATTAATGGAATCAAAGGGATTGGACTTTAAAAGAAACCAAGTAGATATCCTCAGAGGAGAAAGAAGAATTTATTTCATAAAAGAAGAACAGGCATCTATTTCAAAAGCCAAGTAAATATTACATTGGAAATGAAACATTTAATTGATATTTTAAAAATCATCTATAAATGGATGCACACAGGATGCACACAGCTGAAGAAGAAATTAAACTGGAGGCTTGAATAAAGAAATAATTTGAAATGTAATATAAAAAGCAGATTTAAAGAATGAAACAAAGCTTAAAAAGACACGGAGGATAATACTAGGAGTTTCAAGATCCATTTACTAGGGTCTCTCAAAAGAGAGGAGCGAGAGAGTGGTTGAGGTGAGGACCGAGACTGGGAAGAGAAGAAAAAAATCAGAGAAATGGCCAAAGATGAGTTGTCTGGGGGCCTCCCTGGTAGCTCACTGGTAAAGAGTCTGCCTGCCAATGCAGGAGACACTGGTTCAGTCCCTGATTTGGGAAGATCCCACATGACTTGAAGCAGCTAAGCCCATGCTCTACAACTATTGAGCCCATGGTGCTCTAGAGCCTGAAGCTGCAACTACTGAAGCCTGTTGAGTCCTAAAGCCTGTGTTCCACAACAAGAGAAACCACTGCAATGAGAAGCCCGTGCATTACCACAAGAATGCAACCCCCGACTCGCCGCAACTAGAAAAAAAGCCCATGCAGCAACAAAGACCCAGCACAGCCAAAAAGAAAGAAAGAAGGAAAATTAGAAAAAGATCAGCTGTCTGATTACAAGTGTCCCTACAGTGCTTGGGCTTCCTAGGTGGCTCAGTGGTAAAAAATCTGCCCGCCAATGCAGGAGATGCAGGGAACACGGGTTCTGTCTGTGGGTCAGGAAGATCCTCTGGAGAAGGAAATGGCAACCCACTCCAGTATTCTTGCCTGGGAAATCCCAAGAGCAGAGGCGCCTGGTGGGCTATATAGTTCATGGGGCTGCTTTTGCATGGGGTTCATGGGGTTGGACACGACTTGGCGACTAAACAACCACAGTGCTCATCTTGACAAATGAATAAAGACGTATCAGGGTGAACATTCAGAGTAAAGAGATCTTGAAAAGCTTCACAGAGAAGAAAAATGGGATACTGTTTTGATTAGAAGCATAAGGACTCTTAGCTGTCTTGAGTGGGTGGGAAGGGAATCCATCTTTCGGGAGAGGCATGCATGGAAATAGAGTTAATATTGCAGTATAGTTTTACACTGCGAATATATAACTGAATTCCTGTTGTTAGCAAACTCTTCTTGGTTGCTCAGGTTACTTACTATCCTTGGAGAATGGTTTGGATTCTCTATGATACATGTGAGATATTAATGTTAGTTAAAAGTGGACTCTTTGAAATGCTGCACAATCCTGGTTTGGAAGCTAGCCCTGAAAGGACTTCACAGCCATCTATATTTGCAGCCCCTTTTCTCTTCCTGGGACCAAGACCTTGTTTACCACCCTGGAGGACACAGCTCAGACTAGAAATAGCTGGGATTTCCTTTCAAAATCCAGGGCTTTCCGATAGAATGGTTGACAGCTCTTCTTTCCTGGATGGCTCTGTTTAGGCTGCTGATGGTGTAACACGTTCCACTCCAAATGAGGAAAAAAATGCCCTGTATCCTGGAGAATCTTTTGAAATAAGTAGGAAAGAACAGATGCTGAGTTTTAGTTCATATTAAGATTGGATTTGCAAGGGCCTACTTATTGGTAACTTGATAACCTTGATTTAACTGTCCAGGTCACTGGAGTCCTCATAGTCCATGTGTGTTTATTTTAGAACAATTAACCAAGGAACACAGGCTAAGATTTCTTAGCAAAGGCTCCTCGTGGGAGGAATAATGACCAGTTTATTGATCACTATTTCTATAGGGATTTCTCTCTTGGTTTAGTTAAGAATGTCTTATTTTATTGATTGAAGGGACTCCGTGGTTCTGTTATTTTTCATGTTAACTCCCTGAACTTTTCTTGTGTGATTTTAGAGGGCAGAGCCCACCGGTTGCTGAATTTAACTTACTCCTGAAAGCTCACACTTTGGAAACCTATGGGGTGGATCCTCACCCATGCAAGGTAACTACCTCTCACTGCAGGTTGACAGATAATGATTGTTTCACCCAAAAGGCAATTAATTGGTATACAGGCCTGAAGGAGCCCTTCTGGGATATTCCCACAGCCTGATCCATCACCCCTAATGGGAAGGGACAACAGTGTACTGCAGTCACATGTTTATGTAGTTGATTTTCTCCATTGGAGTCTTCTAATTGCTTCCTCATTCACTCATCCATCAATTGGATGGTTTTACCTCCTGAGAAGTTGTGGGATCCTAACAGGTTTGTTTGCAAAGGCCATTGCCAGCAGGAATGCAGTCTTTAACAATGGGTAAGCAGAAGGAAGGGCTTCCCAGGTGGCGCTAGTGGTAAAGAACCCACCTGCCAGTTCAGGGAGATCTAACAGACGTGCATTTGATCCCTGGGTTGGGAAGATCCTCTGGAGGAGGACACAGCAACCCACTCCAGTATTCTTGCCTAGAGAATCTCATTGACAGAGAAGCCTGGCAGGCTACAGTCCATGGGGTCACACAGAGTTGGACACGACTGAAGCAACATAGCACACACACAAGTAGAAGGAAAAATCTTTCAATTGATCTTTAGAGTATATAATTTTCTTTCTTCCTTTACTTGAATTACTTGAGAGTTTTTCTCTCAAGTGGGTGATCAAGACCACGTGTATCAGAAACACTCAGGCCCCACCCCAGAGCCACTGATCTGCATCTCTGGGGAACCTGGAACCTGCCTTTTAAACAAGCTCCCAATGTGGTACTTAAGCACATGTGTTTCAGAAGCATTTTATGAAAACAGTGTTCTTTTCATATTCTAAACCCACTGCACATCAATCAGACATTAACCTGAATCCTCAGCTAAGCATTTATATCAGCCAGGCTCTTAAAGGTGTGTTTTTGAGTCATACTAGAACATTTCTTTACCCAGGTGGGACCAGCTAATGGTATTTGGAGAAGTCCCCGGTACTAGAGCTTGTAGCTCAGGCTGGACCTTAGAAGGGCCTGGGGAGCCCCATCACCCCCTGTTGCCCAGTCCCATGGGGATGTGAAGGTGCAGCCCTGGCAGAGAGCTGGCAGGCTGGTTGACAGTGGCATGTGCATCTTCTTCCTTTGCCCACATGATTATTTTAGAGTATTTGCCAGATGTCTCTTCCTGCTAATGGTATAAATTAGATTATTCCACTTCATGAATTAGATTTTATCCACAAATTTGAGCCTCTCTGTCTGTTTTATTTATTACCTGGAGACTGACTTGAGTTTTGTTGTTATCATTGTTGTTCCTTTGCCCTAATTTATCCATGCTTAGCTTTCCTGCTGGAGACTGGAATCAAAGTAGGCATTTCCAGGCATATCTTTATTTTTAAATTACCAGAAATCCCATATGGGGTTGACTAGTTAGTTTAGATGCTCAGGGCTTTGGTTTCAGGGCTAATGACAACCAAGAACAGTTTTCCTACTTACATGGCGGATCTGAGAACTCAGACAGTCCCACAAGACACTTGGAAGTAGACTAGTGGTTTGGGAGTCACCTGTATTTTCCTAGGAGGTTTCCGGGGAGGCAGAGGTCCACTCCTCAAATGGAAAAGCTACACATTCCTGGCCCTCGCCCACATTTTAGAGGTACTATCCTTGGAAGTCCCATCTGAGAAACTTAGTTTATGGCTATGATCATTGTACTTAACCCAAAATTCACCCAGACTGAGGATGAATAAGCATATCATGTATCCTTTATTTGATATTCCTTAATTGAATATGTTCTTATTTATGTTTTTTTTTTCTTTCAGGATTCAACAGGCACAACAACATTTTTAGGATTCACTGCTGCAGGCTTTGTGGTATTCCAGGGAAATAAGAGAATCCATTTGTTAAAGTGGTGAGTACTTCTTTGAAAAACAATTCTTGTCTTTTCTTAATCTTGTTTTTCTTTCCCAGTCTTTGACTTTCTGTTTGGAACTGCCAGGTAGAATGCCTAAGGTCCATTGCCCTGCCTTGGAGCTTCTTACAAAGAGATTATTCATCTATAAATGAAATTCAATCTTGGTTTCCCTAGACCTCAGGAGACCTGGAGTGTGTCCCAGGCCCAGAGGCTCTGCCTCCAAAGGGAAGGTGTCCAGGATTCCTGGTGAAGAAATACCAGGGGTGACCACAGGGTGCCTCAGGGCAGGGTTAGGGTGCAAGTTCCCTCAGACAACAAGGACCCCCTCTATTTCTGCCACTTCTTTTTATTCTCTTCTGTTGAATTCTTGCTGAAGACCCACCCCTCTGTAATCCAGTGTATCAGTGAAGATGCTTTTGACTCAAAGGAACAGGAAAGTCTGCTCACAGTGGCTTACAGATGAGAGGATAGCAAAAGTTCCAGGGGTCCAGCAGCCCCATGGTCCTTTAACTTAACTGCCTGGCAGCATCATGGACTTGTGCCTTTGCATTTTCTTCTCTGCAGTCACAGGGTGGTAGCTTTTGTCCCCAAATTTGTGCTTATAAAGTGGCCATGCATGCAATTTCAGTTGTCACATCTTCCCATGGGCACACCCTCAAGGAGAACAGCCCTTTGCATGTGTCTCCTGTGAAGACAAGGATAACTTTTTCAGAAGCTCTGTAAGAGACTTCCTGTGTGTGTAATTGGGCAGGGTTGGGTCATATGTGCCTCCTTAAACCAGTCCTTCCAAGAAGTAGAATTCTGTGATAAGGTTGGTCAAATCAGGATCCATCCTCATGGGGAGAACATCATCTATATGAACACTTGATCTAGAGGAAGAATAAAGTATGGGTTCTGTCAGTAAGGATGTGGGAGAATGGACCAGCAGGGCCTGCTGTGTCCAATCAAGGAACAAAATAGTTTTGGTAAAGAGTAAAGAAGCCTTCAGAAACTAACACAACATTGTTAAACCACTATACTCCAATAAAAATGTTTAAAAATAAAGAGAAAAATAAATCCCCCAAAAATTGGACTTATCTTGACTGTACTTTAAAACACAAAGAGTGAAGAAGGCTGAACATTTTGTGTGTATTGGAATATTGTAAGAGCTTAGTCTTGTTCATAGCTTCAGCTTGATTTGGCTCCCTCTCTGATGGTCCTTGACAGACCACCTGGTCTCTCTGGGTGGTGGACTCACTCTCTTGGCTTGAGCCCTAGGGGTCGGAAGTTTTTGATGGGCCTTTGGGCATCCACCCTCATTCCTGGATTGAAAATGCTCTCTCATGCTTATCTGAACCTCCATTTCATGGTTCTTTTAGCATCAGGATTTCTTCCAGCACCTTTTTATCAAGTCCTCATCTACCCCATCACTTCTTGGCACTCTCCTCTGAGCACCTGCCTTCCCTTCAAACCTTCTCTACAAGAAAAGAATCAATCAGCTCATGTACACTTTGCTTCCTACACCTTCTGCTCTGTTTTTATGGTCAGCCTTCTCTTCTTAAGAACCCAAATTTGCCTAAATATCTTCCCTACCTACTCTGTCATTGCCTTTATTCATGTTATACTGTCAGTTCGCATCTGTGCCCACATACTTTCTTCTTCCATAATGAGCATTCTCAAACTTGTGTGTGTCTCTAATAAATCACTTAACTGTCTGAGTCTCAACGTACTCATTCATAAAATGCGCATTCATTATATCCAACTACTTTACAGGAAAGAAAGAAGATGGGGGGGAAAGGAAATGAACTAGTGTGTGTGAAGGTGATTTGATTTGTGAACTAGGATGATTTATAAATACACAGCATGTGTTCTCAGTATTTGTAAAGAAGCTCTGATGTTAACCACCCTTCACTCCACTCCAGAATAATTTCCCGAGGGATTTTCTGACTTGGGGAGCATGGGTAATGTGGGCGGGGCTTCCCCCGTTCTCTCCTACAATTGCAAAAGGCTTGAGGGTCCTGCAGGGTATTTGATCCCTAGGAACTACTCAACTCTGGAGTCCTTGGGTTAGATGCACGCATACTGATTGCAAGTCTTTCCCTTGGGGCTTTAGTTTCTTCTCGGGTCCACTGAAGAGTTGAGATGGACAGTCCCCAGATCTTTTGTTTCTAGGTTCTAAATCTTGGTGTTTCTGGTGGGATGTTGTCATCCCCATCTCTTCCAGCCATGGCTTAGGAACACATTTGTAACAGCCATGTACAGGTTACTAAAATAAATATTCTTCCCACGTTAAACCTAGTGTTGTTTTGTTTTGAACATCCACTGAACTTTATCCCTCTTGCAAATCCTCACCACAGCTTAATATGACCTCACTGTTCTTTTTTCCCAGGAAAAGCACAGGGGCACATATCACTGTCCTAGGAATTAGATCAAAGGAATAAAAATAGAATTCCCTCCTCTCTTTACACTTGTCTTCTTACCAAAGAGGTGACCTTAGGTCTACATTTCAGGTAGATTTTAACTGAGCATCTCCTTAAGATGAAGCCTCAAGTCTTTTGACTATAGTTCCTTGACGTATCCTTATAGTTTTGAACATCTCATTATCTAACAAAATGGTTCATTTATAAACCGGGAGGGCAGAAATGAGAATTTTGCAATGTGCATGTCTTGGAGATGGATGTGAAAGGCTGTAGATATTGTGAATCCATATGGTTTCATTAACCAAATCTGAAATAACTATTACATACTTCCTACCTCACAAAGTGCATTGGCCAATTAATATTGTTTTGGTCATTAATATTCATGAAACCTCTAGAACTTCTTGGAAGAAAGGTACAGTTTAACTGTAAAAATTAGGATAAATAATTGTGAGTTGCCTACAGATCCTCTCTTGGGAAGAAAATTGTTGTAGAATTCACTTGGGGACTCTTCCCTGCTCATTTGGCCTCCAGCAATGATAAGATCATATCTTGTTTCATTGCTGTCTGCTTGGCATTTGTGAGTCAGATGGATTCCTATGGGAAAGCAGGTACCTTAATTAGCTGCCACTTTTTTTTTCTTCTCACCCAAAGAGATTTTCTTTTCTTAGGCCAGATGTCTGCAAATTGAAGTTTGAAGGGAAGACATTTTATGTGATTGGCACCCAGAAGGAGGTCAGAAACTCCCTTTCTACCTGTCTGTTGTTGAGTGTGCATGCATGTGTTTGTACATGTGTGTGCGTGGGTGTGCCTGTGCATGAGAAAGTTTCAGGTATGACATGTGCCTATAGTAATGTAGCCCCCAAAGACCATGATGTTAAAGTTTGTGATGATACCGGAAATTAAGAGGTAAATAACACCAGGTTTACACATTTAAGAATTAATCCAGTGAACAATGCTGACCATATACCCCTGTGTGAAAACTAGGTTGTGATAGACTTGGGCTTTCCGGTGCCTCAGATGGTAAAGAATACACCTGCAATGCAGGAGACCCAGGATTTGATCCCTGAGTCGGAAAGACCCCCTGGAGAAGGGAATGACAACCCACTTCAGTATTCTTGCCTGGAGAATTCCATGGACAGAGGAGCCTGGTGGGCTACAGTCCATGGGGTTGCAAAGAGTCAGACTTGACTGAGCTACTAACACTTTAACTTTCGTTGGCTTGAGAAATAGCTAATGGCCTTTCTCCCTACTTCTATCAATTGCAAGAATACAAATTAGGAAACAAATTAATAATACTTAAAGATAGACATCAACCAGTGTTGATTAGAGTTTTATTAAAAGTATAAGCCTTGGGAATCTTAAAATCAAGGAGTTACCACATGTAGGTTGGGTTTATCATTTGGGAGGAGACCATTACTGAAGAGCCCCAGAGCTCAGTCTAAAAGTTTCTCCATTTTCATGAGCCTAGTGTTTAAGCACTAGATATTCAAGAATGGTGAGTAAATTTTTAAATTCATCCAAGTCTGACTGAGAGGTAGGTGATGCCTGGAGTGTTGAGAAAGATTATGAAACTGTTCTTTATCCAAAACAGGACCTGGAGAGGTTAGTAATATCTGCAAAGGGTGAGGGAAGGGGGAATATGATTNGGGGGGGGGGGGGGGGGGGGCATTGTTGTTTCCACTCAACATGTCACAGGATCTGTTTTTGGTTGGTGCCCCCCTTAGAAGCAGACCTTGGGAAGAGCTTAGTGCAAATGGGGTGTGGTTACTGAATGTACCAGTAGGGGAGCAGAGGAGGGAGAGGGGAAGCAAGAAATATAGGGCATGCTATTGAGTAGTCATTTCTCCCACTGACCGGCAAAGAGGTTGGTCTGTTTATCTACCAATTCCCCATTCATTTTAGTTTAGGGACACTTACAAGGGTAGAGTTAATACTCTCTAGCACTTCTGACTTACTCTGAGCTTGGGTTGTATGTGCTCTCAACAACAGAAGAAGAAACCTTAGGCAGAGAGTCACACATATTCCTGGTAAGAAGGCTTCAGTGTTTAGAGATGAGAGCCAAACATTTGTAGGTAGAATGCCATCAGGGTCTTCTAGGATCGTAGAAAGTCAGTGCTGCATAGAACTTTAGAAATCATCCATAAAGTTCTCAGGTTTCAAAAGAGGTTCAAATTTAGGATTTTTCCATAAGTTCTAGCTTCTCCTCTTTGAGATCGTTACTGATTGGAAGAGCAGTGGTGATGGATGCATCAGGAGCCTAGGGAGCGCTGCCTGGGGTGTCAGCACCACTCACCCCTGGAGTTCATCCAGGTGGATTTTGTCTCACTCTGCCACCCTGCCCCCCAAACACTGAAATAGTCTTACCTATTTGACTCACCTGAAACTGCTGACTCTCTGATCATCCTGGGCTTTGGCTTACAAGGGCCTTCAGGAGAATGAAGGCTGAAACAGTGTTTTTCAAACCCCTTTTAGGCCACAGAACTCTTTTCCTTACACAGAAAGTGTAGACAAAGCCTATGTAAAAAAAGATAAAAATAGAGAAGCTGTGCTGTTGGTGGGGACCAAAGTTGGGACTGGGGACTAGAGACCCTTGACTCATTGCTCACTACTCCGCAGGAGGTTGGGTGACCAGTTGTCTGAGTTTGCCCATGACTTTCCCAGGTTTGGAATGAGAACTCTCAAGTCCTGGGCAGATGCTGTCAGGAGCATAATTTGAAAACACTTGGATGAGATGATTCACAAAATGCTGTGCTTCTAGGAATGATGATGCATATCAATAAGACATCAAGGCATCTGTGAGTCTCCTGCAGTGTTTGAAGACTGGTAAATAAAGAATAGCTGATAACCTCTGAAAACTCAGCATGTCTAGACCACTCCATTCACATGACAGCAGAGAGAAGGAGAGGCAGACAGTCTGGGGTGCTTTTAGTCTTAGTTGGAGCCTACACATTTTTGTTTTTGTTTTTAATCATTTAAAAAAATTGAGATAATACTCACATACTATAAAATCAACTGCTTTAATGTGTAAGTTCACTGGTTTTAGTATAATTCACCAATTTATGCAACCACCACCACAATCATCAATTATTCAGGACATTGAATAGTTTTTGCACATGTATTGTTTTATCATGAGTGAGAGAGTCAGTTGGTATATGGAGTAAAATAAATGTAAAAACAGAATTGAAAAGAGGGGAGAGAAGGGGGAAAACCCACAATCAAAGGCATCCATTTGGGGCACTTGGAGTATGCTTATTATCTGGCAGCTAACAAAGTAGTCTGACAATTCTGTCACTGAATGGGCCAAGTAGGCATATCAAAGAAATCACTTCCTGTCATCTGGAGAAGCTTCAGAAGACCCGAGGAGTGTAACTGTGAGAACAGGTGGCACCATACAGAATTGACTGAGTCCTTGCGTCAACACCTCTGCTCTGGTTGGGCTAGGCTACCCCATCTCTCCCATTAGGACTTCTAATCCCTAATATTTATCCTGACCTGAGATTTGCCCAAACATTGTGTTCCACCATTACCCCACAATTATCCCTGTTCCTTAAGAAAGAGGAAAGATAGCTTATCCTGACCCAGCAGTGTGACCTTGAACCAGTGGCTGGCCACATCTGGCTCATCTGTTGAAGGGAGGGAGCTGGGACTCAGGTATGATTTGCTTGTATCACTGTGGCCTCGTGTTAAGCATAGTGGGCTTTGGAGGCCAACAGACTTGGGTTTGAATCTCGATTCTGTTGCTTACTAGTCGTGTGACCTGAAACAAAACAATGAACACTTTGAGCCTTATCTTTATTTTTCATCAGTAAAATTCAGCTGGTAATCCCTGGCCTGCAGCATCTAGTCCCGCCAGGCACACTGGCCATCAGTAAGTGGCAGCTGCTGCTGTGGCTGGGATGACTCCCTGCTCCGTGAATGGGAATGTCTTCTGAGTGCCAGCTGGTTGCAGAACCCACTCCCTTTGCTTCTGAAGGGCTCTGGCTCTCTGAAGCTCTGAACTTCCTCCACTGCCCGCTTCCTTTCCTGGCCCTGCTTCCAGCTGATCATGGTTTTGGCCTTCATGGTCTGGGCCAGCAGAGCAAGGCACTGATGCACTGATCTTTTATTTTTTTTTAATTGGAGTATAATTTCTTTGCAATGTTGTTAGTTTCTGCTGCACAACATGAATCAGCTATATGTGTGTGTGTATATATATATATACATACACACACACCCACCCACCTCTTGAGTCACCCCCTCTTGAGTCACCCCCGCCCCACCCCTCTAGATTATTACAGAGCACCAAGCTGAGCTTCCTTCGCTATGCATGCAGCAGCTTCCCACTCGCTATCTATTTTACACATGGTCGTGTATTATGTTAATGCTACTCTCTCAGTTTGCCCCACCGTCTCCTTCCCCTGCTGTGGCCACAAGTCTTTTCTCTATGCCTGCATCTCTATTCCTGCCCTGCAAATAGGTTCATCAGTTCTGCTTTTCTGGATTTCATACATATGCGTTAATATACGATGTTTGTTTTTCTCCTTCTGTCTTCACTTTCTGTGGCAGACTCTGGATTTATCCATGTCACAAAGCCCTGATCTTGTTTCCTGGGTTGGGAGTGGTTTGTTTCCTCCTTTGCGCTTCACCTGTTATGAGAATAGGGAGGCCCCATGGCCAAGAATTCCCCAGTATGCTTTTAACACATGAATGTACTGCTGGTTGTCAGCTGGCCCAGGGCCACCGATCAGGTTTGAGAGCCCTGGCTCTGAGATCTGCTGCCTGGGAACAGAGCCCAGAAACAGAAACTCTGACTCTCCCTCCTGCTCCACGCCCCTGGGGATCCCCAACACAGACTTAGACCGTCACCATCTGAGAGCTTCCTCTCAGATGTGTGTTTTGGGTGCTGCCACCCCCAGAGCGCCGGAATGTGCCATTTCTGGACACTGATTCCCTAAAGCACACTAGATTTCCCTGAAGAGTTCAGTGGCTCACTGGTGGTGGTTCTGATGAATCTATCTCACACCTGCTTTAGGCTGAGACAGTGCTGGACACTGGGACACAGTGGAAGCTCGAATGACACTCTCTGTCCCCAGCTTTGTATGGAATTGTGTGCAGGACATAAGGGTAGTCCCTAATAAATTTCTTGTCTGGGTTAGTGTGCATTTTGTCAAAGGAACAGTATGACACTTGGTCGTCAAGGACCCAGAGTATCTCCCTAAACTGACACCTTTCACACTTCAGTGAGCATGAGAGTTACCCAGAGATCCTGTTAGAATGTGGATTCTGGTTCAGTAGGTCTGGGTGGGGCCCAGGAGTCCAGATTTCTCATAAGCTCCCTGGTGATGCTGAGCTGCAGGTGTATGGACCACACTTGAGTCATGAGGTTCGAAACCAGAGGTCCTCAGCCGGACTGCACGTTAGAGTCACCTGGGGCAACTTTTAAACAATAACAGCGTGGACCCTACCTGAGACCCAATTAATTTGAAATCTGAGTCCTCACCAAAATGTGTGCATGAGTGTTTTTTTTTCTCATTAATTTTTATTAGTTGGAGGCTAATTACTTTTGTTCATAGCAGCATTCTTCATCATAGTTAAAACATGCCCATCAACTGATTAAAGGATAAAGGAAAGGGGCATATCCATACAATGGAATATTATTGAGCCATAAAATGGAGGAAGTACCTACTGATTCCTGCTACATCAGGGATGAAACTTGAAAATATGATGCTAAGGAGTGAAAGAAGGAAGGGACT